TAATATTTAAATGAGGATGTGGAAAAGGTTTGTTCTTCTCATTCGAAAAAAAAAAACAAATAGACTAAATATTGAGGATAAAAAGTCTAATAAGACTTGATTTATTATCAAACATATACATATAAATTAGTTGTTTACAATTAATCAGTTTTAACTATAATTTCTGCCATCAAATGCCCTGATATGACCGAGAGTGGGATGGGCCCTCCCTCCCTCTCGAAATGCTCTCACACGACCACGCGTATACAGCCTCTGCTAGGGAAGTCCTACTCACTGCCTTCTCGTGGTGGGGGTGTTGTTTACGAAAATGAGAGGATGAAAAGCGAATGTTCAACGCCTTAACCGGATCCCAAACCAATGGTGCACATGGGCCCCAGTATCCTGAGGGAGCAAATGACGCATGAACCAATCGTTGGTCACCGGCTTCCATGGGACTGCATCTCCTCACGATGCTCCACTGTCCTGTGGATCTGACCTTTAGGTCAGAGGCTCGTGGAGTGGCCTCCTAAGAAAACCACCGGCTTCGGTCTGAGCACCCGGGCAGTATCACAGTCCACACACACACACAAATATGGTGTGGGCGCATATATATTTGGTGCCCTCTTGTACCAATATTTATGTGTTCAAATAAATAATAATAATAAAACTATAATTTTTAATAGCAGAATCTTTGCTTAAAAAATTCTGAAAAATCTGCCTGTTTTTTCCTTGAGTTCTGTTGCAATGACAGTTTAAAGGCATATACTTTAATGTAACTCAATTATAAAATAAAGATTTATTTATCTGACCTTGGATAAAATTCTTTTTTAAAATACTAAAGATACTGTTCATTTAATTGGAATGAAATAAATTCAAAAGAATTCAAGTTTCATGATTTAAATAGAAAAGGAAAAGACAATTAGAACCCCTAGATGATATCAAGTTAATCTGTCTGAAAATTTATGAATTAAAAAGATATATTTCAAACAATTTAAATCACATATATCTATCTTCTAAAGTTATAGTTAAATGACATAGTTGAATATTTTTTCTGCTTTAAAATGGTTGTATCTCCTTTATTTCCTTAAAAGATTTATAGATAACAATGAAATTCAGGGTGCGTAATTTATCCTACTTGAGACTCGTTAGTTGAATGCACCTGAATCGACGAAACTCTAATTTATGGACGACCTTTGAACGAATCTCAGTTGACCTTGAGAAATATTAGCCAGTCAACACACAGTATAGAGTAAAAATATATTATACAAAACCATGGAAATAAAGTGGATACAATTCTTATACGTGGTTCAAAACCTTGTCAAGTTTAGAAAGGGGTTCAGAGGTTCTAAAATCGTAATGCATGCAGTAGAAGAAATTATCCAGACGGCTACAGAATAGTCGGCATCTGGAGTCATGATAAAGTCTTAAAAACTCTTTCAGCCTCGGCCACATAGCTTCAATATTGTCTATGTGCACTTCGGTTGTTGAGTGCACAAAATGCTACTTGTGGATAACAACATGATGCACATAACCAAGCCTATGTAGGAGTCTGTATGCTCTCCAAACATCCGTCTATATATTTTAGTACCTAACTGCAGCCAGTGTTACGGGTGCTTTTATTATCCAGTTCGTAATAATTGTCGTAATTTGCCTTGGTTAGGAATCATATATGGGGTTTTCATCACGAACGGACATCAGCTATAATGCCAGAAATTTATTTAGCCGAATGGAGGAAAGGCTTTCGTGCCCAAATCCGAGATCTGTTATCTTATACCTGATTGATTCGTCAACAAATTATAGTCCCGCCGTTTTATTTGTTATAGCCTCTAAATTATCATGTTTTGTACAAAATTCCCTGTTAACCAATCGCACGTTAGCATTAAGCACTGAAGTTGGCGCCGTAAACTTGAAATCTCTAAAATGCTTCTGATTGGCTCGTCCATAAATTAGAGTCTCGCCCCTGAATCTATTCAGTCAAGAATATCAACAATCGCATACTTCAAACTCCTTCTAATGGTGATATAGATACAAATCTGTTTATAGATGTAAAAATATGGATATTCTTAGATTAATATCACTCAAAACTGAATAATAATGTATGTACAATGACGACTAAAAACAAATTATTGCCCTAGTTTCCACTTTAGTAATGCATACCTATTTAGCTTGTCAATGTACTAATCATTAGCTGATTTACCAACATAAGTCACAATGTTCCAAAATTATTGTGGGATATAAGACATTTAAACTGTGTGTGGAATAAAGACTGACTTTATTCACTCACAAACTTAGCGCGTTTTTATGCAACTACAAAACCATGGATCAACGACAGAAAAAATAAAAGTAAAAAATGCAAATTTTTAACCAACAATACGATGATTAAAATATGAAACTGAATTCTTTAATGGTGTGAAAAATACAGTCATAGAATTTTCATCAAAACTTAGTACTGTACTTTTTTAAAAAGAGTAGTACGCTCGACAGCCTCCTTGCATTACAAGTAGAGACATTTATTAAACGTAATCCACCTATTGTTAACTTGAACTTCAAAATTCCACTTATTTAGCACCAATCATAGAAGTAAAACTACTTGATTTTAAGGATTTTTTATTCAAACGTAAAATTCGGTATAAATAGTCCCATATTACTCGCATTGTTGATCAGTATAATATTTTAAAACTATTCAGCGTTAAAGAAAGTAAATTTTGCATCTTTTTACCAATTGATGATTATTTCTGACACTATTATTTATACAGTTGATTTTGAAGGCAGATCACGACGACTTTAGATGATCAACCGCAGTACTTACCGAAAGGCGTATAAAAATAGAACGATATAATCCATATTCTAAAAACCCATTATTTATGTACAATTAATCCTGTGCTTTATAGCAAACGCAAGTCTGAGAATAGGCATATTTTCCATACTGCTATGTCAGCATGATTTCTTTCCGCCTACACTACCCACTTCAAAAGGTTGATGTTTCAGTGATTATTTCCACTTTCGATAAAGTCTTTTAAGTCACTCATGCTTCAAAATGTGTCAGTCAATAAGTAATTAGACTGCACCTGAACGCCACTCTATAAGTCCTGTCATACTATCTGTATGACAAAATACTTTTGGTTATTTATCTGTTAAACGCTAAACTTAAGGAAAATAAAATCTGTTATGTGTTCAAGCACTTTTTCCAGCTCCATTTTGCTTTTGATCAGAAGATATGACCGACCAAACCAGTTAAGACGTATATTATCACTATCTAACAATTAGAGGAGATTTTGGTTTTCACAATTTTCAAAATATTTGTGTAATATTAAAGCCATACTATTTAAGGATAAAATACGTCTGTAAGAAGTAAATTTTCCACTTTATAACAAAAATTCACTGAGGCCAAATAAATGTAAAAGTGTGTTCATGCTTTTTAGGAATATGTGTGTATTGTCTTGCTTTAAATCATGGTACTCACTAAAATTATCTAAATACATCCTTATTTCTTGACAACAGATGAGCATAATGATGACATTCATTGTTTTAACTTGTAAATTTTAACCACTATATATCTGCAACATTAAAAAGTGTTAATGTGCTACTGATTACTAACTTTAGACGAAGAAAGATAAATTTCTTGTTTCTAGTAGATTATTGTATTTGATATGATGCATACATGAGTTCTGTTCAGCCCACTCTCGAAACGACAAGCATCTTGGAAAACTGACTGAAATGTGATTAGTAGGATTAACAGAAACTAGTTAAAATAAATGTTCATAGAAAGAAACCAGTCGGTCCCATTGCTGCTAACATAATAATTTTTGAACCTATGAAACTCTAATTTTCTGTTGGTCAATTAGGAAAAAACACTTGGAAGGATCACAAAACAATCGTGATATATTTTGTCGAAAAGCGCACTATCTTCGTTAGTCATTAACCTTCCAGGATAAAATAAGACGAAAAATGGATTTGTATCAAAAATTTGCACTAAAAAAGCTAATTCCTCGAAAGTTGTTGAGTTGTATGAAAAAAATCGTACTCTTGTCGTCGTCAAACACTACGGCTTAATTTAAGGAATTCCATAAGTATCAGCTCATAAATATCTTGTCGAATTAGTTTCTTTAAACACTCTGTCAATTAACCTGCCTCGAATTTCGACAAAAGTTCAGGCAGATTACATTCAAATAAACGATCAACTGAAAGCATTACCATCACGTGTAAAAGCATATCAAAAATTCCAACTACATAAACTGCATTTCATGAATACAGTGTGAGAAGTAGTAAAATGCTCCAGATGTTAAAATAATTGTCAGAAAATTTCAAAATTCAAACAAAACCAGAAAAAATATCGATGCAGAATAATATGAATTCATTTTATTTCGAGGTCTTGTAGTGACTCACGTTTATCACGAGAACACGACTGGTTTAATAAAAACAATTATTATTATAACCAAGTGTACCAGTGACTGTTTTAACGTGCTTTTGTTTGACTGTGCTAATGACAGCTATTTTGTTCTTTCATTCACTTACTTACACTTTGATTGTAACTTCGCGCGAATTCGGTTACGTTCTGTAACCAAGCTTGTATCCTGGCACGATCTCGGTATCCTTTCGATGCCACGAGATCGCCAGCAAATAAACATCGACTTGGTCCATTAATTGCCTTCTGGTATTCGGCTTCTCGGGGATTTTATGGGGTCATTTGGAACGAGCTTCTTACGCCTTCTGATCTAATTGGCACGTGTTTCTTGGTAGCGGTGTTCATAGTTAATCTCAACTCGACGCCACGCTACAATTGGTAATCCCAATACGAATACAATTGGTAATACCAATTCGACAACAGTCTCGCGCCAGCTGCTTAGAACCAAATATGTATTTGAATTTAAGCCCAGTGTTAAACTCTAAAACATATTTCGTTGTAAGTAGCTGACGCAAAACCTCCAAATAAACTGAGTTCATACTTTTCTGCATCAATATTTGTTCTGGTTTTATTTAAGTTCATAAAGTGAACCAATTACATGGAATTTTGAAGTTACCATTTAGAACAATTTGAATCACGCAGCCAGAAACTATATCCGAAGTGCTTGTAACTTGACAATAACCATCAATCGTATTATCTTTGTTGCAGTAGAGTGTAATATTATCCACTATCTTACTCTCATCTCGAGTAGATACCTATAATAACAATAATCACGATATTTTAGAAACCTACCAGCTTTTTTACAACGTCAGCGGCTGCCAAGTATATGTCACAAAGTTCGAAATTTTTTTCAACATAAACACAAGCCTGATATGTCTCAAGCTGCAGGAAAAAAGCAAAGGCCATGCAAACGTGAAACGATAGTTGAAAAAACTACAAACGCGTAACACAAAACTGCCTTGACTTTTCAAGAGTTCAAACAAATATGAATGTTCTTCCAGTTTTCCGCTATCATTAAAATGCACTCGATAAAATCTATTACCTCTAGGTTTTAGCCACTTAATTTTGGAATTTCAATTTTCTGAATTTCAAGTTGTTATTTCATTGCACTAATGTTTACTAATAACTTCGAATTGATAAACTTAAATATACTTCTGTAATCGAAAAAACTGCAAACCTGCTAAGCATATCATTGTGTAGTCATGTCAGGCATAGTAGGGCTTTACTGTTGCTTCCTATTTCTCTGTGGTAGTTTCAACACAAAGAGATAACTTCATGTCATTGATATAAGTTGAAATAGAAACTTTAGGAACTACCACTTATAATGATAGCCAAATACCATTCTTTTCATCCATGTCTCACTTACTGTATGCTACTCATCGACTTATGAATTTTAAAGGGTAACCATTCTCCGTCAATGTTTTCTTCAACAAACTAACTTCGTCATCATTAGCATCGTTCGTGAAAATACAATCAATCCTATTAAACAGGCTCTTTATCAAGTCCTATTTCTATTAGTCCGGAGAGTAACTATGGCAAGTGAGATACGGGCCTGTCCAGGTTAACTTTCTAAGAATAGATTGTTTGATTTAAATATCTTCTCTTATTCTCAAAAAGGAAGCTGATCGTTCTCCTCATTTTCACTGATGTGGTTTTGAGAAGTATTATGTGTGTTCAACGAAAAATTCAAAACCTCGCACTGATAACTAACATCAATCATATTATCTCTCGTAAATATGTAGTTGTAACAGGTTATAAGGTTGATCTTAACTCGACGTTTTTGGCGTTGTACGAAGTGTTTGGGAGTGTATACTAAGGCTTCTTGAGAGTTGGCCACACAAAACTTAAGCCCCTTTATGTATTCAAATATGTTTTCATTCCAAAACTGTCCTGGTAATATTATTTTATTATCCAGTATGGAAAGTTTCGTATTGTTCTTCACATGATTCTCTTGACTGTTACCTCTTACCCACCATTTGTCCGGTTAACGTTTTCTGTTTTCATATATAATTGTTCTCAACAAGTATGTGATCAGATTGTTGGAAGTGTATTGTGTTTATATATCACATAGTCCTGATAATCTTCGTCTTCTTTCTCGCACCATCCAAATCCATCACTATGGCACTTTTTGCTACTTACTCGTCTTGTTTAATGTAATCACATGCCAAACCTCTCATCTTAGGTTAGAAATCTTAATACACATGTTATAGGTCGTCTTGGCAGAGTCGCGAAACAACCATTAGGCCAAAAATATGCTTCAAAAATGATAGACATGCGATGACAACCACAATATCACTGAATAGTTGCCTAGTTTCCACTCATAGAGAGCCCTAATTAAACAAAATTATCTGCTTTAAAAGCATGATTTGATTACAGTCATCCGCTCAAAATTGGGTATCACTGGCATATAGCTAGTATTGTGTAACGTATTGACTGGTTGTTTGTCGCAATAGATGATTTGCACGACGAACTGAAACATGATCCAGTGCGCGTCACTGGACAAAGACCTTCAGCTAGTGGTGTAAAGAAACACATAGCATTATTCCTTGACCTGTCTTTGGTCGCTCCAGAATCCCTCTGCTTGGTTCACCCCAATTTCAGTGGTATCTGTTGGTGATTGTCGTATTACAAAGCACGGAGTAAAACCATAGAAATAAGATGGTATATATTATTTGAACTCACTTTTCTAGACTTTATGCCATCTAGTGCTTGCTGCTTGGTGATTGTACCAGTCATCATCATTGTACCGAAAAATGTTCGGGTCTTCTGGGTAGTACAACTTATTGTGGCTACAACTTTATTCAGTTCCAACTATTTTTGGGACGGTGGACACAGCATTCCTAATATCTGATATTTCCGTCGAGTCATAGCAAATATATGGCAGAAGAAACCGTCAATAGTCTCTCCAGTAAAACCAATCTGGTCAGCATCAATTTTGATTGCCGATAAAGCTATATAATTTTGGCAAATACTTCCTACTGAATTTTTATTATTGTATCAGCAACTCCGCCCGGAGCCCCTCTGAGGCTACTGACGGACCCGAGCCCGGATAGAGGAGGAGGATTGGGCATGGGGTTAGCGACCCCATCCCGTAGAAAGCTAACTCGCTAAAAAACCCTAACCGGAAAGCATAATTCCAACCATTTTAACTGTTCAAAGTCTTCATTTAGAATAGTTATGACGCCTCATAATGAATGCCGACTTCCTTAGGAAGGATCATCAAAGCCTCCTTCAAAACAAAGAAAGAGGCTACTGCAATGCTATGCGCCTACCAACGACTACAATGAAGACGCTAAAGATCAATTCTACAATAGGCTGCAGTCAATAGTCGAGAAGTGCCCAACAAAGGACCTGACCATTCTGATGGGAGATTTCAATGCCAAGGTTGGAACGGACAACAGCGGAAATGAAGACACCATGGGACGACACGGACTGGGAGAAAGGAACGAAAATGATGAGAGATTTACAAACCTATATGCCTTCAATAAACTGGTCATAGGCGGCACAATATTCCCATGTAAGCGCATTCACAAAACCACATGGACTTCACCGGATCACACTACGCTAAACCAAATCGACCATATTTGCATCAACAAAACGTTCAGGAGGACTATAGAGGACGTGAGAACCAAGAGAGTAGCTGATATAGCCTCAGATCATCACTTGCTGGTCGCCAAGATGGAATTGAAACTCAAGAAGCACTGGACAATGGGGCGGACAATATCACAAAAGTTCAATACGGCCTTTCTCCAGGATACTAACCAACTCAACAAATTCAAGATAGACCTCAGCAACAAGTTCCAGGCCTTTCATGATCTACTCAATGGAGAAGGAACTACTGTGGAGAGCAACTGGAAGGGGATCAAAGAGGCAATCACTTCAACATGTCATGAGGTCCTGGGTCACAAGAAGCACCATCACAAGGAATGGATCACTGTTGATACACTGGACAAGATTCACGAAAGGAGGAACAAGAAGGCAGCAATCAATGCCAGTCAAACAACAGCAGAAAAAGCCAAGGCACAAGCTGAATACACGGAAATAAACAAACAAGTGAAGAGGAGCATCAGAACCGACAAACGTAAATATGTGGAAGATTTAGCAACGACGGCAGAAAAGGCTCCAAGAGAAGGAAACATGAGACAATTGTATGACACGACAAAGAAACTCTCTGGAAATCGCCGCAAACCAGAACGACCAGTGAAAAGCAAGGAAGGCAAGGTAATCACCAACATTGAAGAGCAACAAAACAGGTGGGTAGAACACTTCAAAGAACTGTTGAATCGACCAGCTCCACTGAACCCACCCAACATCGAAGCAGCGCCCACGGACCTCCCAATCAATGTTGGCCCACCAACAATTGAAGAAATCAGCATGGCCATCAGACAAATCAAGAGTGGCAAAGCAGCAGGACCGGACAACATTCCAGCAGAGGCACTAAAAGCAGACTCAGCAGTAACCGCAAGGATAATCCACATTCTCTTCAATAAGATTTGGGATGGGGAACAAGTACCAAAAGACTGGAAATAAGGACTTCTGATCAAAATACGGAAGAAAGGCGATCTCAGCAACTGTGATAACTACAGGGGCATCACTCTTCTCTCAATACCGGGAAAAGTCTTCAACAGGGTATTGTTAAACAGAATGAAGGACTGCGTAGACGCCCAACCTCGTGACCAACAGGCAGGATTCCGTAAGGATAGATCGTGTACAGACCAAATCGCAACTCTACGGATCATTGTGGAACAATCAATTGAATGGAATTCATCACTCTACATCAACTTCATTGACTACGAAAAGGCATTTGATAGCGTGGACAGAACAACACTATGGAAACTTCTTCGACACTACGGCGTGCCTCAGAAGATAGTCAATATCATACAGAATTCCTATGATGGATTAAACTGCAAAATCATGCATGGAGGACAGTTGACAGACTCGTTCGAGGTAAATACCGGTGTCAGGCAAGGTTGATTACTCTCACTCTTCCTCCTTCTCCTGGTGACCGACTGGATCATGAAGAGGTCAACATCTGAGGAGAACCATGAGACACAGTGGACAGCTAGAATGCAGCTGGACGATCTAGACTTCGCAGATGATCTAGCTCTTCTATCGCACACGCAACAACAATGCAGGAGAGGACGATCAGTGTGGCAGCAGCCTCAGCAGCAGTAGGTTTCAACATATACAAAGGGAAAAGCGAATATAAAAACCTTCACATATCTGGGCAGCATCATTGATGATGCAGATGTGAAAGCTTAGATCGGCAAAACAGAAGCGGCATATTAACAACGGAAGAATATCTGGAACTCAAAACAATTGTCAACCAACACCAAGGTCAGGATTTTCAGTACAATGATCAAGACAGTTTTACTGTATGTGGCGGAAACCTGAAGAATTACGAAAGCCATCATGCAGAAGATACAAGTGTTTATTAACAGCTCCCTACGCGAAATACTTCAGATTTCATCCTGCACCATCCTCAAAGCCTTAGACATTCCAAAGGGACATACGGTTGCGACATTTAGAAGCTCCCATCTTCAATGGACCTATCCTTGACTATCAGTTGCACATTCGCAACGCAACTTTCGTGAAGCGCGCCAACTGTAGTACTGTTTATAACCATCTACATTCATATCTTATAAATTATCAACCCAGCTGTGTAATTTACTACAGTGGATATTGTATCATTTGTATCAATTTGATCTTGCCTGTAAACTGGCATGCCTCATGTAACAAACTGTTATTTGAGAATAAAATTGTTATTATTTTCAGATCAGAACTTTTTGAGCCAAGAAGTTGGAAAGTGCTCCTACAATGCGTACCACAGAAGCACTCATTATTTCTTCGCTGCAGACTTATACGTAAAGATAACCGAATAGAGAACACTTAATTAAACACGAGCGACCGAAAATATTTGTTCGAGTGTCCTCTTTTTGATTCTCAGACTACTGAGACG